TAGATCCATGTGTTCATGAATTGGTTGATGGAAACCAGTGAAAACCAAGCATAGGAAAGTGTGGTTTAAAGAAATAGTCCCATTTAATGCTTCCTTAAAGTTCTGTTTATATATATGGTTTTAATTTTTCTGAATATTGCCATTCTGAATAAAATATGTATGAATTTAAATCATATATGTTTTTATTCATATTCTCCTTCCATAGGAACAGCTCCACTTTTTCCCTTTATTTCTTTGGGCTCTGCATAAGCAATAAACATCCTAAAATATTACCTAGGTTGGTACACACACATATTATTATAACATTGCATAATATAATAATATGGAATTATACTTTTATATTTAATACAATTATTAATATTATATCATAGTATAACATATAATATTATATGGTTACTGAATTTATAAAACAGTTCACACTTTACAAAATTATTTAATCAACTAGAATAGGTCTGTTTATAATTACGTATCAGGAGGTTATTAGTTTGCTAAATTAATAGCATAAGGAAAGTGACTACATCTTTCACTGCAACATAAAAGCAACCACCTACAGTCTTAGTCTTGAGTATGTATTCTTTTTCATTTTACTTTAAAAGTGTCATGTGAGTGTGTCTAGAATAGTATCAGAGCAACTGTCTTATTTGTTTCAGGTGAATGTAAGATACTCAAAGTATAAATACCACATTTTTAAAAAATGTATTCACTTATTTTGAGAGAAAGAAAGAGCACAAGCATGAGCAGGGGAGGGGCAGAGAGAGAGGGGCAGAGAGAAGCCCAAGCAGGCTCTGCACTGTCAGCTCAGAGTCCAACATGGGGCTCAAACCCCATGAACTGTGAGGTCATGCCCTGACCTGAAGTCAAGAGTCGGATGCTTAACCGACTGAGCCACTCAGGCACCCCACTACCACATTTTAAAATAAAACCTAGGAACATGCATGCCAAGTTCAATTACTCAACTGCTAATTTCAATAAATTGAGATCTCCTCTCTTCAAATTAGAGCTCTTGATGGTTATTATAATATTAGAATAGGGGCGCCTGGGTGGCGCAGTCGGTTAAGCATCCGACTTCAGCCAGGTCACGATCTCGCAGTCCGTGAGTTCGAGCCCCGCGTCGGGCTCTGGGCTGATGGCTCGGAGCCTGGAGCCTGTTTCCAATTCTGTGTCTCCCTCTCTCTCTGCCCCTCCCCCGTTCATGCTCTGTCTCTCTCTGTCCCAAAAATAAATAAAAAACGTTGAAAAAAAAATTAAAAAAAAATAATATTAGAATAATTGAGAGTTGAAAAGGAATTGGTTGATGAAATTATAGTATAGTATTTATCAATAAGAAAACACTTCACATCATTTGAAGATCAAATGGTTTACATCAAATGTAGATTTTAGGTAAGTGCATTTGAACTCTTCCATTTCAATTGAGTGCTAAAGATAGACAGTATTTACTACCTTTATGCCCAAAGTGTTATTTTTATACTAAGTCAAGAATTACAAGTGCAGTGCTAATGTTTTCTGAATCAAAAAATGGGAAATGTGGTCTCAAAATTACCTGTATATCCATGACAAAAAGAAGGCAAAGTATCTGAAATGAGAGACATTATGTAAATTCAGCTTATGTAGTTACTGTAGTTCATGGCGTGGTTTTCCTTATCAGAGCATGCATGCCATGTTTATAGTTTCAGTACTGCATTGAATAGGAATTACAATTTGTCTACATTTGCATATCTACTATATTTTTTAGAAATCTGAAGTGTGTTCGATTCTCTGCTGTCTTTCTCCAAAAACAAAATGAAACAAAAATTCCCTGGATGCCAATGTATTTTTATTTTTCTTAATGTTTTATTTATTTTTGAGAAAGAGAGAAGGTGAGCAGGGAGGGGCAGCGAGAGAGGGGGACACAGAATATGAAGCAGGCTCCAGGTTCCAGTCTATCAGCACAAAGCCTGATGTGGGGCTCGAACTCACAAACTGTGAGATCACGACCTGAGCCAAAGTTGGACGCCTAACCGACTGAGCTACCCAGGCGCCCCTGGATGCTAACATATTTTAAGCCAAAAATAATATCTTGATTCATTCAAAATACAATTTTAAATCTTCATTGAATAAAGAGAGCACAGAACATAGAGGATATTGGCAGAAATTTGAAATGACCACTTGTTCATTTCAATGACATATATTGGAAAACCGGTGTTGGTCATTTGTATTATAGAACAAATCTCATTACTTCTTAAATGTATGATTTGGGGAAAATAATTTAAATTCTTTGTGATTTTCTCTATCTTTAAAATAGTCATAATTGGGGCGCCTGGGTGGCTCAGTCGGTTAGGCGTCCGACTTCAGCTCAGGTCACGATCTCTCGGTCCGTGAGTTGGAGCCCCGCGTCGGGCTCTGGGCTGATGGCTCAGAACCTGGAGCCTGCTTCCGATTCTGTGCCTCCCTCTCTCTCTGCCCCTCCCCCGTTCATGCTCTGTCTCTCTCTGTCTCAAAAAGAAATAACCCTTAAAAAAAATAAATAAAATAGTCATAATTATTAAGACTATCTATAATGTGAAGAAAGGTGAGAGGCACTTCAAGATCTAAGGTAAGTCAAAATAGAAAATAAATATGGATTAAAAGAAGTTTGAAAACTCAGTTTGTGGCATCTAAAACATATTATTATTAAATCGCTACTATGTGTATATATCACAGTAAAATAAAGTTAAAAATAAAATCCAAGAATAGCTATTATTTATTCCTACTTGAGGTTTTTTGAAGCAACGCAGTTTTTCTTATTGTTTCACAATGCAGGAAATTTGAGAACTTCTGTTATTTTCCTCATCAGAGAAGATTTTCAGTGATCTTGGTAAGTTTAACTACATCTGAAATAGCTGGTAGTCATGAAGTGCGATTAACACACAATGGCAGGGATTTGAAAACATGAAAGGGGGAGAATACAGAATAAGTCAGAGAGGAATGTGGGGATAAGAGTTAATAAAAAAGGATCAGAAACCACATTGGCCTTTCTTTATGCCTTTACAGAATATTTGTTATGTGTGTACTGATAGTTTACTGACTATGAAAATTGGGAAAAATTAGAATACCTATTTTAAAGAATAGAATGAAGGGGGGCGCCTGGGTGGCGCAGTCGGTTAAGCGTCCGACTTCAGCCAGGTCACGATCTCGCGGTCCGTGAGTTCGAGCCCCGCGTCAGGCTCTGGGTTGATGGCTCGGAGCCTGGAGCCTGCTTCCGATTCTGTGACTCCCTCTCTCTCTGCCCCTCCCCCCTTCATGCTCTGTCTCTCTCTGTCCCAAAAATAAATAAACGTTGAAAAAAATAAATAAAGAATAGAATGAAGATCAATATGTAAGTGATGAATCATTAAATTCTATTCCTGAAACTAATATTACACTATATGTTATCTAACTATAATTTGAATAAAAACTTGAAACAAAAAAATTAAATTAAATAACAATAAAAAATAAAGAATTGAATGCAGATCAGTTAAAGTATAGCCATGTAAATTGTATAGCACAGTGCTTGGTATGTAGTAAGCTGTCAGTAAATATCAACTGCTGGTATTGTAGCTGTTTCTTATGTTCTTACAATTATTTCTCTGTATTTCCTTCCTTTTTTAATGTTAATTTTCTTATTTATTTATTTTTAATTTACATTCAAGTTAGTTAGCATATAGTGCAATAATGATTTCAGGAGTGGAATTCAGTGATTCATCTCCTACATATAACACCCAGTGTTCATCCCAACAAGTGTCTTCCTGTGGGCCCTTACCCCATCTCCCCACCTACAACCCCTCCAGCAACCCTTAGCTTGTTCTTTACATTTGAGTCTCTTATGTTTGTCCCCCTCCCTGTTTTCATATTATTTTTGCTTCCCTTCCCTTATGTTCATCTGTTTTGTACCTTAAATTCCACATATGTGTGAAGTCATATATTTGTCTTTGACTGACTAATTTTGCTTAACAAAATAACCTCTAGTTCCATCCACCTTGTTGCAAATGGCAAGATTTCATTCTTTTTGATTTCCAAGTAATACTCCATTGTGTGTGTGTGTGTGTGTGTGTATGTGTGTGTGTGTGTGTGTGTGTGTGTGTGTGTGTATACCACATCTTCTTTATCCATTCATCAGTTGATAGACATTTGGACTCTTTCCATATTTTGGCTATTGTCAATAGTGCTTCTATAAACATTGGGGTGAATGTGGCCCCTTTGAAAAAGTACACCCATATCCCTTGGATAAATACCTAGTGGTGCAATTGCTGAGTCTTAGGGTAGTTCTATTTTTAATTTTTTGAGGAACCTTCATACTGTTTTCCAGAGTGGCTGAACCAGTTTGTATTCCCACCAGAAGTGCAGAAGGGTTCCTCTTTCTCTGCATCCTCACCAACATCTGTTGTTGCCTAAGTTGTTAACTTTAGCCATTCTGACTGGTGTGAGGTCATATCTCATTGTGTATTTTTTTTCTTAGTGCTAATCTGGCTTCAATTTCTTTGAACGCATATAAACTATAACAGGAGACTACTACTGATTGATATACTATCCAAAATTTAATCTATAGTAAACCATTCTAGAGTAATACATTTCAGTGAACTCTCTGCACAAAAATGTCATTAAGCTTATATTACACTGGTATCATTCTAAGCATGTAACAAAGAGAAATTAAAGCCTCTTTAAAGTGAATATTTTGGTTCTAATCCATCCGTCTTGAAGACTGTCCTAAATATCTTCTTTGCAAGTCCAATGACCCAGAACTTGAATAAAAAAAAAAAAAAAAAAAAAAAAAAAAGCAATGAGGCATCACCCAGGTCAGTCAGTTAGCACCCAACTCTTGATTGCAGCTCAAGTCATGATTGTACAGTTCATGAGTTCAAGCCCCCCATCAGGCTCTGTGCTGACAGTATGGAGCCTTCTTGGGATTCTCTGTCTCCTTCTCTCTCTGCCCCTCCCTGTTTGCTGTCTATTTATCTCTCTCAAAATAAATAAATAAACTTAAAAAAATAAAGCAGGTATGTTTATAGATTTTAAACTTCATTTTATTATTTTGTCTTTAAGAATAGTAAGAACATTAATTAATTAAATCACAGAGACTATTGATTTTTTATATGTAGACTCCAAAATTCTTTGAATATTCTATTACGAAACACTACTGTTAGTAAGTAAAGAAACATTTCATGCAGATTTTTTTTCACTAAATGTTTGAAGGGATTTTTTTTCTAATTTAAGGGTTAGGTAAAGGAGTTGGAGAAAGAACAGTATTTCTTAAATCTCTGAACGAAACGACAGTGTAGACCCTTTCATTTTCTTATCATATTCTTTTTCAAATCTCTCATACTGGGCTACAGTGAAGTGATTTTTCCAATCTCCCAAAATACCTGAAAAGAAAGATAAAATGACAAATTTGAGACATCTATAAAATTTCCTTCTTAGATCAGTTTTAATTTGAATTACTATATATATATATATATATATATATATATATATATTTAATTTAAACTCAAGTTAGTTAGCATATAGTGTAATAGTTATTTCAGGAGTTAAATTCAGTGATTCATCACTTTCATATAACACCAAGTGCTAGTCCCAACAAGTGCTCTCCTCAATGTCCATCACCCATTTAGCCAATAACCCCACCCACTTCCCTTCCAGAAACCCTCAGTTTGTTCTGTGCATTTAAGAGTCTCTGATGGTTTTCCTCTCTCTGTTTTTATCTTATTTTTCCTTCCTTCCCCTATGTTCATATGTTTTGTTTCTTAAGTTCCAAATATGAGTGAAATCATGTGATGTTTGTCTGTCTCTGATTTATTTCACTTATTTCACTTATTGCACTCTTTTGTATCCTTTGGATAAATACCTGGTAGTGAAGTTGCTGGGTCATAAGCTAGTTTTATTTTTATTTTTGAGGACCCTCCATACTGTTTTCCAGAGTGGCTGCACAGTTTGCATTCCCACCAACAGCATAAGAGTGTTCCCTTTCTTCACATCCTTGTCAACATCTGCTGTTTCCTGAGTTGTTTATTTTAGCCATTCTGACAGGGCTGGTTTTGATTTGTATTTCCCTGATGGTGAGTGATGTTGAGCATCTTTTCATGTGTCTGTTAGCCATCTGGATGTCTTCTTTAGGAAAGTATCTATTCATGTCTTCTGCCTATTTCTTCACTGGATTATTTCTTTTATGGGTGTTGAGTTTAAGAAGTTATTTATAGATTTTGGATACTAATCCTTAATCAGATATGTCATTTGCAAATATATTTTCACATTATGTGGGTTGCCTTTTAGTTTTGTTGATTGTTTCTTTCACTGTGCAGAAGCTTTTTATCTTGCTGAAGTCCTAATAGGTCATTTTTGCTTTTGTTTCCCTTGCCTATGGCGACATGTCGAGAAGAAGTGGCTCTGGCTGAGGTCAAAGATGTTTCTGCCTATTTTCTCCCCTAAGAATTTGATGTTTCCTGTCTCACATATAGGTCTTTCATCCATTTTGAATTAAGTTTTGTGTATGGTGTAAGAAAGTGGTCCAGTTTCATTCTTCTGCATGTCACTGTACAGTTTTCCCAACACCATTTGCTAAAGAGACTGTCTTTCTTCCATTGGATATTCTTTCCTGCTTTGTTGAAGATTAGTTGGCCATATATTTGTGGGTCCATCTTTGGGTTCTCTGTTCTGTTACACTGACCTATGTTTTTGCACCAATACCATATTGTCTTGATAATTACAGCTTTGTAATACAGCTTAAAGTTCAGAATTGTGATGCCTCCAGCATTTGGGGTCTTTTGTGGTTCCATACAAATTTGAGAACTGTTGGTTCTAGCTCTGTGAGGAATGTTGGTGTTATTTTCAAAAGGACTGCATTGAATGTGCAGATTGCTTTAGGTAGTATCGACATTTTAACAACATTTGTTCTTCTGATCCAGGAGTATAGAATGTTTTTCCATTTCTTTGTGTCTTCTTCAATTTCTTTCACAATCTTTCTATAGTTTTCAGTGTAAAAAGCTTTTACCTCTTTGGTTAGGTTTATTCTTAGGTATTTCATGTGGTTTTTTTGATGCAATTGTAAATGTAATCAACTCCTTGATTTCTCTTTCTGCTGCTTCATTACTGGTGTATAGAAATGCAACAGATTTCTGTATGTGGATTTTGTACCCTGAGACTTTGCTGAATTCATATGCCAGGTTCTAGCAGTTTTTTGGTGGAGTTTTTCAAGGTTCTCCACATAGAATATCATGTCGTCCGCAAAGAGTGAAAGTTTGACTTCTTCCTTGCCAATGTGGATGCCTTTTTTATATGTCTTTTTGTTGCCTGATTTCTGAGGCTAGGACTTCCAATACTATGTTGAACAACAGTGGTCAGAGTGGACACCCCTGTCATGTTCCTAACCTTAGGGTGAAAGCTCTCAGTTTTTCCCCATAGAAGATAATATTAGCTCTGGGTCTTTTGTATATGGCTTTTATGATGTTGAGGTATGTTCCTTCTATCTCTACTTGGTTGAGGGTTTTTATCAAGAAAGGATGCTGTATTTTGTCAAATGATTTTTCTGCATCTATTGAGAGAATCATATGATTCTTACCCTTTCTTTTATTAATTTGGTGTATCAGGTTGATTTATTTGCAAATATTGAACCAGCCCTGCAGCCCAGGAATAAATACCACTTGGTCATAGTGAATAATTCTCTTAATGGACTGCTGAATTTGATTTGCTACTATCTTGTTGAGAATTTTTACATCCATTTCATTAGGGATATTGGCTTCTAATTCTCCTTTTCAGTGGGGTCTTTGTCTGGTTTTGTAATCAAGACAATTGGTTTCACAGAATGAGTTTGGAAGTTTTCCTTCTATATCTATTTTTTGGAATTGTTTGAGAAAAATATATACTATTTCTTCTTAAATGTCTGGTGGAATTTTCCTAGGAAGCCATTGGCCCAGGATTCTCGTTTGTTGGGAGATTTTTGATTACTGATTCAATTTCTCTGCTGGTTATGGGTGTGTTCAAATTTTCTATTTCTTCTTATTTCAATTTTGGTAGTTTCTATATTTCTAGGAATTTGTCCATATCTTCCAAATTGCCCAGTTTGTTGGCATATAATTTTTCATATTATTAGTCTCACAATTGTATTCTATGGTGTTGGTTGCAATCTCTCCTCTTTAATTCATGATATATCTATTTGGGTCCTTTCTCTTTTCTTCTGGATAAGTCTAGCCAGGATGTTATCAATTTTGTTAATTCTACCACACTTGTATTTTTAAATCTTTAACTTTAGAACTCCATAACTCCATCCTTCACTCCCAAACTCCCAGGCCTCCTTAGTTTTCCAAAATACCCATGGATTTTTTCAGTACCTTATATAAAGAAATAATCTCGCAAATAGCTTCAAGAAACGTCACTGGAAGAAAATTCAATGTCTCACAATCTTTATTCTTTGCCCTCAAGAGCTTTGTTAGCAAAAAATGATGTCTAACATCATTTAAGCTGGCTACTGACCACAGAAAAAATTGTAAGGCATGTGAGAAATATCTAGAGAGTTCAGACAAATGAAAGGCATTCTTCTGACATAGCAATGGATGCCAAGACTCATGTTTATCAATGTATAGGCTCTTGAGTAACCATTTCTCATTAGAAGGTCTGTCTTACACGATAGGCTTATAGGAATTACAGAGTTTATTTGCCACATATTTCCCCTAAGTTTTTGTTGCTGTTGTTGTTCCTAATTTTTTTCTTGTCAGCATACTCAATCTCTTTCCATCTCCTACAGTATTGCTCTTAGCTCTCCACCTATCTATAATGTAATTAGCAAACTAGTATATGATTTCTCACCCTTTCTCATGAAGGGAGATATGGAATGATCCATACGAACTCCTGCTACAGTGGTATAATTTGTAAATGGATTCTGCTTCATCACATCAAAAGAGCTGTAATAGAGGATTTTATCCACGGTTTCTTCTGGCAGATCTTTGTCTAGAAACTTTAACAATTTCTGAATTTCACGCTTTGGATCCTAAAAAATTATAAAATAAAAGAATTATTTCAGGTAGACATAGTCATGCAATAGGCAATGTATTTAATAAGGTTCTACATATCTCAATGCGATTGAGAAAATGATTTTACATTTTTATGTGTATGTTTTACTTTGCTTTCCAAAGTACATGTCCTATTCTTGGTTATGCCAGGCAATCACCTGCTACAAGGAAGAATAAATTCTGTTTCAAAAAAGGCAAAAAAAATTGGGTTAATATTCAACCTTTCACACTCAAAAATAAAATTAACCAGTAGAATAACAAATGGTAATAAAGCAAGCTACTATTATCATAAGGTATAATTTTCAAAATTTTGATCTCCTTTTTTAAAGCGTATCTAACATCAAGAATAGATTACATATCAAAAATTTAGAGAAGAATTAATATCTATCCTTCTCAAACTCTCCCAAAAATGTAGAAGAGGGAGTAACACTTCCAAACCAATTTCACAAGGTTAGCATCACCCAAATGCCAAAAACAGATAAGAACAGCATAGGAAAATAACAGACTAACATCTCTGGTGAATATCAATGCAAAAATACTGAAAAAAATACTAGCAAACATAATTCAAACGCACATTGAAAGGTTTGTATACCATGATCAAGTGGATTTATTGCAGTGATGGAAAAGTAGTTTGACATTAGCAAATCAATGTGATACACCACATTAACAAAATGAAAGATAAAAATCATATGATCATTTAAAAAGATATGGTAGTAGATGCTATGAAAAAATCAATAGCAAAAGAGACTTTTTAAAAGTTTATTTATTTATTTTAAAAGAAAGAGGGAGTAGGGGTGCCTGGGTGGCTCAGTCGGTTAAGCGTCCGACTTCAGCTCAGGTCACGATCTCACGGTCCGTGAGTTCGAGCCCCGCGTCGGGCTCTGGGCTGATGGCCCAGAGCCTGGAGCCTGCTTCCAATTCTGTGTCTCCCTCTCTCTCTGCTCCTCCCCCGTTCATGCTCTGTCTCTCTCTGTCTCAAAAATAAATAAACATTAAAAAAAAAAAAAAAAAGAAAGAAAGAGGGAGCAAACATGCAGGGTAGAGAGAGAGAGAGGCAGAGACAGAATCCCATGCAGGCTCCATGCTGTTAGCACAGAGCCCAACACGGGGCTCAATCCCATGAACCGTGAAATCATGACCTGAACTGAAATCAAGAGTCAGACGCTTAACCGACTAAGCCATCCAGGTGCCCTGCAAAAGAGACTTTAATAGATAAGACAAGGTGAAGTATTTGACATTATGGACATGAAAGAACTCTCTGGAGAGTTAACATTTAACTTCAGACATGAAGAATGAGTAAAAGTTAATTTGAAAATAGTGGGGAAAAATATTTCAGGCAAGCTCACTTAGTGAGAAAAAGGTGATACCAGAAGAGGTTGGAGAGATAGATAGGGACTAAATAATGCTGAACTCACAATTATCTTAATGATTTTGTATTTCATGTAGGGACAGAAACCACTGAGAGATTTGAAGAAGGGAGTGGGCATAGTCTGAGTTTTCAAGAGGATCATTTTCTCTGAGTGGACAATAGAAGCAAAATGAGGTACTCCAAATAAGTCAAGACAGTTGTCTGATCTAGCGCAGGAGGCAGTAGTGGTAGAAAAATAGGGGATTGAGTAAAATATCAATTTTCAAGGTGTAATTAATAGGATAGTGGATTGGTCATATTTATAGATTAAGAAGAAAGGAAAATGTGATATAAAAAAAGATGAATCTTAGTTTTCGTTAAAAAGTAAAAGAGAAATTGTACTGTAGTTGCCTCTTACCTCTTTCATGTCTTCATAGAATAGGTAAAGAATACGATAATCATTCCTCTTCTCCCACCAGCCCTTCACGTGATCATACCACGCACCAAAAGCCACTAAATTGAAAGATACAATGTTTGGAAAATTAAAGCCATTTGCATAAAGAACTGTTACATATTATTCCAAGTCATCATTATCAATACAAAAGCACTTATCAGTTTAAGAAATTGGGATGATAAGGTAATTACTTCTGTTTTCACTAAATTTACAATCTACTTGAAAAGGAGTGGCAGGGAACTTCATAGAAGAGAGGGAGAGAAAATGATAGGGGTGGAGAGGTTAAGAAAGGGCTCTGGAGAAAGAAGAATGTATTTGGATATAAGAGGAAAAATTGGGCTTTGATAATAGTAAGAATGAGTAGACATTATATGGACAGAGAATCATCCAAGCAGTAGCAGGAGTAAAAATTGGCAAGACACCATTGAGATGTACTTGCCTTGAGAAGAGAGTTTTTATAGAAGAATGTTTGTATGAGAACTATATGTAGAGCTACTACTATTGGCATAAGTATGTTTCCCTGAAAGACAATACACAGGTAGAGAAACAGAGCCTTAAGGATAAAATCTTTACTCAAGAATTTTCAGTCTATGTAATAAAAATAAGGGACTGGTAGAGAAAAGAGAGCCTAAGAAATATGTGTAAAATCAAAACAATACGATGGCTGCACAGCAAGGGATGAAAACACTTAATCGTCACTAAGCACTAAAGAAACAAGACTAATAACTGAAAAATCTGTGTTACATATTCCCTAAAAGTTCTTAAAGAGAAGAGATGACTATGTATTCGGCTTCTTCTATAGTCTTTCTAATTCATTAGTAGAGTGCTGGGCACATATTAGTTTTATAATAACAGATTTAGATTTGAACTTTCTATCTTCTTGCAAAAAGACTTTTCACTATGGGGAGCCTGGGTGGCTCAGTCAATTGAGCCTCTGACTTCGGCTCAGGTCATGATTTCACGGCTCGACAGTTCAAGCCCCCAGTTGGGCTCTGTGCTGACAGCTCGGAGCCTGAAGAAGCCTGCTTCAGATTCTGTGTTTCCCTCTTTCCCTGCACCTCCTTTGCTCACGCTCTGTCTCTCTCTCTCTCTCTCTCTCTCTCTTAAAAATAAACATTAAAGGGGCGCCTGGGTGGCTCAGTCGGTTGGGCATCTGACTTCAGCTCGGGTCATGATCTCACGGTTTGTGAGTTCGAGTCCCGTGTCGGGCTCTGTGATGACAGCTTGGAGCCTGGAGCCTGCTTTGGATTCTGTGTCTTCCTCTCTGTTCCTCCCCCACTCACACTCTGTCTCTCTCTCTTTCTCCCAAAAATAATACAGATTTTAAAAAATTAAAAAATGATTAAAAAATAAACATTAAAAAAATTATTAAAAAAAAAAAAAAAGACTTTTCACTATAGAACACCTTGAGCAAAGTAAGAGTTGAACCCACCCTTTCCAGTCATGAATTTATCCAGGAACTCTTCCCAGGTGCCAGGCTCTGGATGCAGTTTTGCCATCTGGTAGAAATAATAGTAAGACACAGCCACATCTTTAGCATTTCGTGCCACGTAGACCATCTGTGGAGAGATATGGCAAATCATCATTTCATTTATATTTTTTAATATTTTGTAAACTTGCTTGTCTTGCGAGAATGCTTATTTTCTCCTATCAATGTCCTGATCTCAGCATTTATATATATATCCTGACATGGAATATTCACAACTATGTATTGTTTAACGCAAAGATTTGGGCCTTCACACCCTGTTTCTCCTTAGCTTTTGAAAAGAACATCTCTTAAAACACAGAAAATCAAATATAATAAGAATTATAGTAAATGTTATATTAACAAAAATGAGCTAATATTGTTCTCAAATTTAAAATATTATTTTATATCACTTACTAAAACATGTAAAAGAAACAGAAATTATAAAACTTATAGAAAGCTAAAGTAAAATTTTTAAAACTGAAAAAATGCCCTATTTTTAATTGAAAATAAATTTTTTATAAGGATACATTTAATCAATAATGATTAAACATTCTTCATTTTGTTCATGACCATGGATACATAACAATTATTGCTGTTTATAGTGATTTGCTGTGAGATTAAAATTTATTTTATGTATAGAGTCCTAAAGTCTACTTGAAAAAAGAACTTTTGAACATATTCTCCAAAAGAAATGACATTATTATGTCTCAGTGTTAATTGGATTTTCAGGGAAGTCCACTGAAATCCATAATCCTACTTTTCCCCTGAAGTACATCTAATAATCCTGAGGTCCCAGCCACCCACGCAGTAAACATAACTCTAAGGGAAAAATGCATTCAGGAAGAAATTTCATTTTCTCTAATTAGAATCAGCTTCCTTCTTCTCTTCCAATTGATGGGAAAAAGAAATGGGAAGTTTTATAATCCCAAGTCACTGATAGTAGTTCTCATATTCTGGCGCAAGGAGAGAGAGAGAGTAAAAAGAGGTTTTTCAAAAGATTGAGTACAGAGTTCTAAGAGTTGAGACTATTGCTGATCCAATTTCTTGAGATAAACATTTCCAATAACTTCCTATTTCAATAGCAGGAGTATATGGTAACAAATCAATCATTTTATTCTATCATCACGTAAGTTCTTTAGTGCGGACTGTTTCCACTTCTCACAGTGTAGATAGAAGGCCATCCTGAAGATATGCCCCAATTCTCTTCATAGCAAGACCATGTGTTTCTGGAAACATCTAAGGATTTTTACCTTTGGAATTAAGAAGATAAACTGTATCCTTGCTTTCTTTTCATTTTTTGTTTTAATTAGAGTTTGAATAAAAAAGAAAGTCACACATAAATGCATGTACAGACTTACTTGTATAAGCTCAATAGTATTCATAAGAATTAAATAAAATAACATGCTCTTAGATGGCAGAGAATGTCTTATTTGTGTTTGCATTTATAATGACAATTACAATATTGGTACATACACAGTAGCACTTCCATAAATGTTTACTGATTATATGTTTATTGAAGAATTTTGCTTACAGGTAGCTGAATCAGAACTGCAAGGAGAAATTAAAAATTTATAGTCAGATTTCAACATCCTTCTCTCTATAACTGATAGAAAAATATGAAAAGATGAGAAATGTGATTCTACATATATTAAAAGAATGTTAAAGGAATATCATGAGCAACTTCATTACAAAAATTTGCAGCTTATTTTTAAAAAAAATTTTTGAAGTTTATTTATTTATCTTGAGAGACATAGAGAGCTAGTTGGAGAGGGGCAGAGAGAGAGGGAGAGAGAGAATCCCAAGAAGACTCTGCACTGTCAATGCAGAGCCCAACACGGGGCTCGAATCCATGAACTGTGAGATCAAGACCTGAGCCAAAACCAAGAAATGGACACTTAACCAACTGAGCCACCCAAGTGCCCCCCAAATTTGACAGTTTAAATGACATGGACCAATTCCTTACAATGCATAAACTACCAAAGATCATGTAAAGAAAAGTATATAATCTGAATAATACTAAATCTATGAAATACATTCAATTTGCAGTTAAAAATCCTTCCAGAAGAAGAAAATTCCAGGCTTAGATTGTTTCACTGGTGAATTGTACAAAATATTAAGAATGAAATAGTACCAATTCCAACCAAACACTTCAGTAAATTGGAAAAGAATAAATACCTTTCAATTCATCTTATTAGTCCCTATAGTACCAAAGGAAGGGGTTATTCCCTAATGATAAAGACATTACAATGAAAAGGAAAGTAGAGTTCAATATCTCCCAAAGATACAAATTATTTTTTAAAAATTAGCAAGTTGTACTCAATAATATGACAATACCAAATTAATACATATCATAAATGAATACAATCAATAATTAAATATAAGATATGCAAGGTTGTTTTAACATTTAAAAAATCAATTGGTGTAATTAATTAATCATAGTAACAGACTAAAATAATGGAAAACTGTATGATTGGTCTTTTTTTTTTTTATGTTTATTTTTGAAAGAGATAGACACAGTACGAGCAGGGGAGTGGCAGAGAGAGAGGGAGACAAAGAATCCAAGGCAGGCTCCAGGATCTGAGCTGTCAGCACAGAGACCTACACAGGGCTCGAACAAATGAACCAGGAGATCATGACCTGAATGAAGTTGGATGCTTAACCAACTGAGCCACCCAGGTGCCTTCATATGATTTGTCTTAATGGGTACAGAAAAAAATCATTAGACAAAATCTAGCATGCATTCCTGATAAAAACTCAGCAAAGTAAATAGAACAGAACTTCCTCAGCCAGGTAAAGGGCATATACAAAAAACCTACAGGTGACATCATCATACTTCGAAATGAATTTTCTCTAAGATCAAGAGCAAGACAAGCGCATCTGCTCTCACCACTCCTATTCAGTATTGTATTAGAGTTTTTTCCAGTTCAATAAGGCAAAATTAATAATAAGAATAATAATAAGCAAAAAGCATTCATAAAAAAAAGTAAGAATATTTTGTATTTTTTATTTACTAACAGCATGAGCATCTACATAGAACAATGAATGGGATCTACAAAAAATCTATTAGATCTATTAAGTGAATTTAATAAGGTTTCAGGATAAAAGATTTATGCCCATATACCAGTAACAAACATTCATAAAATAATGCTAGTGTGTGTTTGTGTGTGTGTGTGTGCATGAGGAAGACAGAGAGAGAGAATTACTATTATATGAGAAAATTTAAAGAAGAACATCTTTCTTATAGGTATTAGATATTTAGGTCTAAGTGTGATAACTGAAACAATAAAGCCAATACAATTAAACAGAAGAGAAAATATCTTCATAACTTTGGGGAAGGCATTCTCTTAAACAAATATACACACACCAAAAAATAAAAAATAAAGAAAAAAACTGATATATTGACCAAGAAGAAAAAGGCCAAGGAACTTGAACAGATACCTCAGGAAAGAAGATATTTAAGCTATGTAAAGGTGTTTCACCTAATTAGTCATTAGGGAAATATGAAGAAAACCACAATGAGATGCCACCATACATCTACTAGTAGGGCTAAAATTAAATATTTTTAGGTATATTTTAGGTTGATGAGGATGTAGAGTAACTTTAACTCTTGCACTACTGGTCAAAGTGTGGATTGGTCCATATGTTCGAAAATATCTATTGAAGCTGGATACATGTATACACTAGATCCAGCAATTCCATCCCAAGATATAACACCAAGGAGAAATGTGTACACACACGTGTGATGAAAACTTTTGTTAGAATGTGAATTGAAGCGTGCCTGGGGGGCTTGGTAGGTTAAGCATTGGACTTCAGCTCAGGTCATAATCTCCCAGTGAATGAGTTTGAGCTCCGCGTTGAGATCTCTGTTAACAGCTTAGAGCCTGGGGCCTGCTTTGGGTTTGGTGTCTCCCTCTCTCTGCCCTTCCCCTGCTTGCACTCTGTCTCTTTCTCTCTCAAAAATAAATAAACATTAAAGAAATTATAATAATCTGCATTGAAGGAGTGACTGAGTCTTGATTTTGGCTCAGGTCATGATCTCCCCAGTTGTGAGTTCAAGCCCCACATTGGGCTCTGTGCTGACAGCGTGGAGCCTGCTTGGGATTCTCTCTGTCTCTCTGCTCCACCCCCACTTGCTCACTTTCTCTAAATAAATAAATAAATAAACAAACTTAAAAAAAAAAAGGATGTGCATTGAAGTACTATTTAATTACTGACAACTAACAACCACCAATAATACTGTGGGTAAGTAGGTTATGAAATACTCACATAGATGTAATGGAATGCCTTATATCAGTGGTTCTCAAACATTAGCATGACTCTAATTCACCTTGAGGTCTTATTAAAACTCATATTTCTAGACCTCATCCCTATAGTCTTAGATTCAGTAGGTCTGAATTGGGCCTGAGATTTGCTTCTCTAACATGTTTCTTTTGTTCAAGGTACCACATTTTGTGACATATGATATAGCAGGCTACATTAAAGAAAACAAAACAAAAACAAGATAACAAACATGATAAGAATTGAACACACAAATATGGTGTTAAATGAAATAAGTCAAGTATTCAAGATTACATACTTTCTTATTACAGACAAAACAGGCAAACTAATTTATGGTGAAAACATTTAGGATAGTAGTTATCTTTGAATACAGGGATTGTTGCCCAGAATGTCAAGAAACAGAGTTTTTGGGTGTTAGTAATGTTCAATTTCTTGATTTGGATGCAGGTTTCATGGGTATGCTCACTTTGTAAAAATTCATCAAGCAGTATGCCTAGGATTTATGTACTTTTCTAAATGTTATACTTGAGGGGTGCCTGGGTGGTTCAGTTGGTTAGGCTTCTGACTTCAGCTCAGGTCATGATCTCACAGTCCGTGAGTTTGAGCCCCGTGTCAGGCTCTGTGCTGACAGCTCAGAGCCTGGAGCCTGCTTCAGATTCTGTGTCTCCCACTCTCCCTGCCCCTCCCCTGCTCATGCTCTGTCTCTCTCTGTCTCAAAAATAAATAAAAACATTAAAAAAATTTTTTTTAATGTTATACTTGAATTAAAATGGTTGTTTAAAAAAGGAAGCTTGGGGCGCCTGGGTGGCGCAGTCGGTTAAGCGTCCGACTTCAGCCAGGTCACGATCTCACGGTCCGTGAGTTCGAGCCCCGCATCAGGCTCTGGGCTGATGGCTCCGGGCCTGGAGCCTGTTTCCTATTCTGTGTCTCCCTCTCTCTCTGCCCCTCCCCCGTTCATGCTCCGTCTCTCTCTCTGTCCCAAAAATAAATAAAAAACGTTGAAAAAAAAATTAAAAAAAAAAAAAAAGGAAGCTTAACTGAATCCACATCCATATATGTGTGTGTGTGTGTGTATGTATATATATATATATATACATACACATATATGTGTGTATGTATATATATATACATATATATATACACATATATGTGTGTATATATATATAATTATAAATCCATATTTGTAAATTATAATTATATTGAATTCATGAATAAACAGTTATTGGGTTATTTAAATATTAAATAGTTGTTTATTTTCATATTAGATATTTATTTGAGTATTTTAAGTATTTATTTAAATACTTAAATATTAAATATTTAAAAGTAGATAGTGAGTGAAGGGATTTAGACAGAAAAACAGGCATTTTAGAGAATAGAAAACCTGAAAGAGTCTCAGTGCTTGGGCACTAAGTCTATGTCTATTTATCTATGGCACTGGTGTCCACTGGTGTTTTTTTCAATCTTTGGGGTATAGGGATCACATTATTATTTTTGCAATTATTTATCCAGGGGTTGCAATAGCCCATCGTAATTTCTGCATGATTAGTAAAAGAAATTTCAACACAAATAAGGATTTGTTTTCTTTAAAATTTGCTACCTTGCAGTTATTCTTCCAAAATGAAGAAGGGAGAAGTTGAACAGGTAGGTGTGTTTTCACTAATCGAGGAGACTGCTTTTTTTTCAAATCCTCCACACCTACAAGCACAAAAGTTAAACTATATTATAAATGTGGAATCATAAAGGTTAATGGTAATGTAATCTAAGATTTTGCAGACATTAACCCCACTCACTATATGGCTTGAAATGATTATATGGCTATATGACTTCATATAAAATCTGCAATGAGATCAAAACTGATAAATTCTGGCTACTTATGTGTTTTATTTCACATGTATTACAGTCAATAACTGTCTGTAATATCCTCAGATACAGTACCTCGATGAGGTGGAAACAGCAACAGGTCCATGTCAAGATATCCAAATTTTCCTTCATTTATCTTTCTCTTTTTCTTATTTACAATATGGGGAAATTGAACTAGAAGATTTCAAATTCTTTTTCCAGCTTTCTTATATTCAAATTATAAGATCAAATTGAACCTTGAGGCTCATAACTAACACAATTTTAATAATGCATTACCATCCATTGTTCTGTTCTTGAATCTGTAAACATCAGCTAACAAGAAGTAGACATGATTTTATATTGGATCAAACACTGAATTTTCTGTATATAATGATTGTACAACATTTAAATGTTGAAGACTTCCACCTGTGCTATTAAGAAAAAAGTATTCTCATCAAAATCTCCTCTAACACAGATATTATCTTTGGGTGCAAGAGGAGTATAATATTGGTATAGCCGCATTCTTACTCTTCTATTATAGACACTTATGAGTCAACTGTCCAAGTTCTGTCTATATCGATTCTATCATGACTCCTTCAGACACCAAAAAACAATAGGGGGATTTATTGCTATGGGGAAAAGAAACATTAAGGGAAAATACCATTATCCAGTCCAGGAATTATCAATTCCATGAACGGCACTCGTTTGTATATTGCGTTCTGTTTGCATTTCTCCACATCCCCATTATTATAGATCAAATCCAATATTTCACTGATCCAGGTTGTTCCTAAGGGGGAAAAAATGGAACAACTTTACACTTTTCTGTCAAAAACAGTATAAGAGAGTCAATAGAGGTAGAGGAAACAGAAAGGTGCTCTTCATTCCCATTCCCTTTCTCTCTTCTCCCTTTTATAGGAGACACCACCATCTACTTGAACATATGCATATGTATTATGTATATGTGTGTGTGATGTGTGAGAGAGAGTAAATATGACTAAAATAATTATAAAGTAAGTCATGAAAAGTAAGTAAAACATGGATAATGTAAAAGACAGGAGGTAAGTTATGTAGCAAACCCTCCTGAGTGGAATGGAGAGGGAAGTGGCCAATTTCGATTTGTACATTTCTTATTAATATCAAAAGATATTACTAGGCTTTGGGACTGAAGAATACTTGAGGTAAAAATGTTCAACATTTGGTGGAGGTGTGAAGAGAGGATACAAAGAGAACTTTGTGAATTGTGTCTGTGGTGACTAGTGTGCTACTCACAAATAGAAGACAATACATCCTCACTGAGCAGAGTAGATCAAGTCACTCAGATCTTTATGAGACTACAGATGGTCCCCTACTTATCATGGTTTGACTTATGATTTTTTTTTGAGTTTATGATGGTGTGAAACTCAGAGGCATTCAGTAGAAACCCAACATTGAATTTAAAATTTTGATCTCCTGGTCTAGGGGTCAGCAATGTGATGCTCTCAGATATCTACAGATACTGGCCAGATGCTGGACAGTGCAGCTTCAGCTCCCATTCTGAATGGGGGTAAAAAACAGATTCCCTTACAACCAGTCTGTACCTAGGCAACCATTCCATTTTTCACTTCCGGTACAGTACTCAATAGATTACATGAGAAATTCAGCACTTTATTACAAAGTAGGTCTTGTGTTGGATGATTTTGTCCAGTTGCGGGCTTTGTAAGTGTTCTGAGTACATTTAATGTAGGCTAGGGTAAGCTATGATGTTTAGTGGTTTAGGGGTTTAAAATACAGTTTCAACTTATGATGCATTTATAGGAAGGTACAATTATCACAAGTCTGTACGTAAGGATATTTAATCGTCTAAAGCATTCAAAGATCAGTTTCTTGAGGCTGTGCTAAAAAAGCAAATACGGAGCGACTGCATAGCTCAGTCAGTTAAGCGTTGGATTCTTGATTTTGGCTCAGGTCATGATCTCATGGTTCATGAGATCAAGCACTGGATCAGGCTCTGCATTGACGGCCTGGAGCCTGCTTGAGATTCTCCCTCTCTCTCTCTCTCTCTCTCTGTCCCTCCCCTGCTCACTCATGCACACACGCTCTCTTTTGAAATATAAATTTTTTTAGAAAGTAAATATAAGTTTGGAGAAAAATATCTTCTTAACTGTTCCCATCCCTTTCCTCTTTACCAAATGTGCAATAAATGATAGTCTTTAAATTGAATAATCATGGTTAGAAACTAAAAATTACATTAAATGATCTATGCACTGCATAGACATTGGAAGTTTGACCTTCACTGTAGCAGGATTCTCGGACAGAGAATTGTGACACCGAGGCATTTCTTTCCAGGAAGCAACTTTATTCGTGCCCGCATGACTCACTTCGGTTTGTACCCAAAGAACTGAGCCCCCAAATGCCACGTGGTGTAGTGTTTTGTATATTTTTTATTTCTTTGTCTCCCATATATGGTAACACACTAACATACAGTCTGATGACGTGATCTCATGCTACAAGGTTGTGAGCGATGTTGTCACCTATGTGTATAGTCAGGTTGTCTTCAGTTTTTGTTTTTTTTTTTCTTTCTCTCCTTAGGTAGGGAACCCTACCCCCCTTTGATGCTCAGATCCCTCTATTTTGGGTCAAAGAGCATCACCTTGGTTTAGAGGTTTATATTTCCATAACATCATTACATGAGTGGCCATCTTTTTTAAAATCGTGGCCTCAGTGAAACAGGAGACAGACTGTACAACAAGAGGAGTTAAGCAAGGTAGGAGTAAGCAACTTCCCAGAATTAGGAGGATAATTTTTATGAGAGTTTTGAATCCCTGGAAAGTTGAAAACCATCCTCCAAATAACTCCCTGGAATTTTAACTGTTCCGGGTCTGGATGGGGACATGAGCCATCCTTCTCATTTGATTTGTGATCTCCTCTATGACTTTTTCCTCCTTATCTGTCTGTAGGCAGCAGTTGCTTAGGTCAAACTTTTTTTTTTTTTAATTTTTTTTTTCAATGTTTATTTATTTTTGGGACAGAGAGAGACACAGCATGAACGGGGGAGGGGCAGAGAGAGAGGGAGACCCAGAATCGGAAACAGGCTCCAGGCCCTGAGCCATCAGCCCAGAGCCTGACGCGGGGCTCGAACTCACGGACCGCGAGATCGTGACCTGGCTGAAGTCGGACGCTTAACCGACTGTGCCACCCAGGCGCCCCATGCTTAGGTCAAACTTTTTACAAACTCCTCCCTCAGAAGCAAGCAGGTCCGGGCAATATTTTAAGTCCGAGCAATATTTGATAGATAACATTGCACATTTTGGTTTGCTGCTTGGCTAGTAAGTTAAGAGCTCTGGGAGTTTTACTGGTTATAATTTTTATAACTGCTTGTAGTCTGATTATGTGGTTTAGCATGTAAATGGGAGGGCAGTAGCCCCAGGACACATCCTCTCCCTAGTGGCACGGCCATAATAGTGGATTATATGCTCGGGAGGCCATTTATTATATTTTTAATCACCTATTTGTAAGGCACACCACTTCATTTGAGTCGCCCTGTCCCCATACACTTTGACCCCCAAATGTTTCCCTCTGGCTAGTGGGAGCAGGAAGAAAGATGGATGAATAGTTTCCAGCACATATGACCATGCCCAGATTGAGGGAAGTACTATATATAGGCTGTCCTTCCACATATCTAGTATAGTCCACCTGTGGCCCACCATTTGATGGCTGCATGACATTGTCCCAGGTCTCTCAGAGATAAGAGAAGTTAGACAAGGGGTGGGGATCTGGCTCAAGGGGATCTGGGGCCCCCCACTATTGGGTTTTTCAGGCAGTTGAGTTATAAAAGCTTTGGCCTAGGCATGTGAAGTATTGACCAGAGATGACAATGAACTTTTTCCCCACTACGCAAGACAGCTTTTTTTTTTTCCCAATAATTGAGCTTTTGAGGAGCCAAACCCCGACAGTAGGACTGGGGTGTTTTGTTTTACTCTAAGGTTTGTGGGGATCTACTTTTCTAGTCTCTTATGGCTATTATTTTCCCATGTTGGTACCAACAAAGTATACTATCCACAAAAGGAAGGTGAGTGCTCACAGAAACCTCTCACCACATTTCCAGCCGGCCAGACCAGACTCCGCTGATCCTACAGCACAGAGTAGAGCAAGAATCACAATAATAGTGAGAAGGCATGACAGTGCATCAGAGTAAGGAAACAGATATAGAAAATAAGGACAGTCTTTTGTTCCACTGGACTGTCGATTCCTCAAGCTTCTGCCATGTGTAGATTAGTTAGCTTCCAGAGTGACTAAAGCAGGGCTGCAGTCTCCCAGAGCCTCTAGAGTTGCAGATTGCTTCTTCCGTATGGTCAGTTTACATGGCATTGATGGATCAGCTCCCAGGAGATGCTGGCTTCACTCTGCTGTAGTGAATGCAGAGACCCACTTTGGCCACCTTTACTAAAGTAGGGGTGGACAAAATGACAGTGAACGGAACCCTCCAGGGAGCTTTTAGGGGGTGGACAGTTTATTTCTTTA